TCAGTCATTGCCCTCAGCCCTGGTCTCTGGCTGCTTCTCAATACTGGTGATAAATCCTGTCTTTGTCTCCCTTCTGACCCAGGCCCCAGGCAGGCTGGGGGTCAGAGCTGGGGGAGGGGTCAGTGTGGAGGAAGGGGAGATACAAGGAGAATGGGAGGAGAAGATGGACAGGAGCAGCTGGTGGGCAGGCATGGGGGGTGGGCAGTGAGGGGATGGGGCCTCTTCATTCTACAGATCCTGGACATTCCAGCAGGCCTGCATTCCAAGTGAGAAAGCCAGGATTGCTGAGTTGTGGAAATACCTTCAGAATGGTCCCTTGAGCATCCGGAATACTGGGAGATGGGGGGCTAGTGTGGAGTGCCTCAAGGAAAGAGACTGCTGAAAGAAATGGAAAAATATTGTGGAAATCCTCCTATCCATACCGCAGATCCCTATGCAAATGTGCCATGCACGCACCCACCCACACACACACATACACACTCACACACACAGGACTCACGGCATGAGGGAGCCCTGGAGAGCCAGGCTGCCCCTTGCCTGGCCCCTCCCTAGTGGCCTTCTCTTGCTATGACTTTCCTGTTTCCAACTCTATTCTTTTTCTCTGCTCCCAGTCTTGCTTTCCTTCTTTGTGTCTCTCATTCTCCCAGTTTGTTATTCTCGCCGTCTCTCAGCCTCTGCCTCGGTCTCTCAATCACTTTTTCTCTCTCATATTGTTTCTTTCCATCTTCTTGTCTCCCTCTCCCCTCTCCCCAAATTCCTGGATGCTGCTCCATCTGTCCTGCTTCTGCCACTCTTCAGCCCAGCCATCCTACCTCAGTCCTCCTACCTCAGTCCCACATCAGAACCCTGTTCTGGCCCAGAGGGGACCTTTGGGAGTTAGATTCCAAGAATAGATGGGAAGGAGAAAAGAGGCTCTGAATGAGTCCCTGCTTTAGTGGGAGGTCTGGGAATCATATTGGGTTATGATATGGCATGGAAGCGTGGGGTGGGCAGAAGGTGACCAGAAAGAGAAGCACAACTAAGGGAGGTAGGGTGAAATGAGAGAGAAGAGATTAATAAAGAAAAGGCATAGGCCAGGCACGGTGGCTCACACCTGTAATCCCAGCACTCTGGGAGGCCGAGGCGGGCAGATCTCCAGAGGTCAGAAGTTGGAGACCAGCCTGGCCAACATGGTGAAATGCTGTCTCTACTAAAAATACAAAAAAAAAAAAATGGTGGCACATGCCTGTGATCCCAACTACTTGGGAGGCTGAGGCAGGAGAATCGCTTGAACCCGGGAGGTGGAGGTTGCAGTGAGCTGAGATTGCACCACTACACTCCAGCCTGGGTGACAGAACAAGACTCCATCTCAAGGAAAAAAAAAAAAAAAGGACACTAGGCTGGGTGCAGTGGCTCATGCCTGTAATCCCACCACTTTGGGAGGCCAAGGCAGGTGGATTACTTGAGCCCAGGAGTTCAAGACTAGCCTGGCAATATGGCAAAACATCTCTATAAAAAATACAAAAAGTTAGTCAGGCATGGTGGCACACACCTGTAGTCCCAGTTACTCAGAAGGCTGAGGTGGGGGGATCACCTGAGCCCAGGGAGGTCGAGACTGCAGTGAGCTCTGATCACGCCACTGCACTCCAGCCTGGGTGACAGAGTGAGACCCTGTCTCAAAACAAAAAGAAAGAAAGAAAGAAAGAAAAAAAAAAGAAAAAAGAAAAGACACAGAAGGACAAACACTAAAAAGAGAAGGGTGCGGACTTGCAGTTCTCTCTAAGTGTGTGTTTTGGGTCAGTGTGAAGGGGAGGAGCTGAGGGGCATCTCCTAAGTCATATTGCGATATAGGTTCAAAGACAAGGTCTGGAGGCTCAGCCAGAAAGGTGTGATGTCCACCAGGCAGCCACAATTCTGGACTCTCTGTTACCTACCAAGGAAGTTCTCAGAGACCTTTTTCTCCTCTCCAGACAGTCTTGGAGTGTTGGTTCCCTCCCTATTCACCTCCTCCACTCTGTCACCTCCCTTCCTCCCCCAGTGAGAATGACATCAGCTCTGGCTGCCCGTCCTCAGCCCAGTTGCTGATGTACTCTCCCATGGGTGAAACAGAAGGCTAATCACCTTTGCCCCATGCATTCACTCTCTAGTCCAGGAGCTGGAGTTTACATAGCCTAGCACTCTGGAGTAGGAGTGGGAGGAGGCTGTACCAAGAAGGTAGCTGCAGAACATTGTGGGAAAAGAGGGGGCATGGGCATCAGGGGGAGGGAGAGGGAGAGGAGTGGAGGGGGGCACTTGAGGAAGAGAGGCAGCAGCAGTAAATCACCCTGTGGGGGGGCTCCCTCTGCCTGAGCTCAGTGGGGTAGGGAAAGAATAGACATAGAGGGGTGGGGGGAAGAATGGGGAATCGCCACATCTGGCAGGCAGGTGTCTGGCACTGTTCAGGCTGTAGTCACTTTCCCAGCCAAAGGGGAGGAAGGGGGGAGAGGGGAGGAGGGGCCTCCCAGCATCCCCTGGGAAAGAGGGAAAGGCTCACAAACAGAAAGACAGAGGCTTACAGACAGAAAGAAACCAAGGAAGAGAAATAATCAGACCCCGCTCCCAGGCTCTGCTTCAGTCAGTGCTTGGGGATGTGTTTACTCATAGCCCTGAAAAAAAACCTGCTGGCCAAAAAACTGCGCAGGCCAGGGCACCGAAGTTCCATTCATGCTGGAAAACAGAAGGCAGGAGTTTAACCCAGGCTAAGCTGGGGAAACTGAAGCTCAGAGAATTCCAAGTTTGAGAACAGGATGGAACTCCATGCTCCACACCATCACACATCACCACCACTCAGCTCTGGTACTGACACTGCCCCTCCCCCAGGTCAATGCTGTGTGGTGAGTAGGAAGATTAGGATGGTAAGGCTGAGTATTGCTTTTCCCCAGCTCACACAGGCAAAGACAAAAGAAGTACCTAGTCTTTATCCAAACTCTTGCATTCCAACTTTCAGTGCAGGACTGTAGGCAGACGTGGTACACCCAGGTTTTTTTCTTTTCTACCTGCTGAGGAGTATCCCATGCACAGGTGCCCCATAGTTGTTGAGCTTAATTGTCAGGTTTTCATAGAAGAGCAGGCAAGACTGGAAAACTCTGGGTTTCATGTTCTGATGCTGGAGAGACTCCCCCATTCCTGTTACCTTCCTTCCCTCATCCTTTCCCATCTGAGATACTAATTTGGTCTCCCTTGCTTAATCCTGGAATTGCAGGTCCATTTTATGAGCGGCAGAGGTGACTGAGGAAACCCTTCAAACTGCAGTGGAGAAGAGGCTCCCCACACTCCCCCTTCCTTAAAAATCCTGCAGAGGAAGGGGGAAAGAAAACCAAAGCATTCTGTCGCCGCGGCAACCATAAAACCCCCAGCTAAATCCATCTTGTGAGCTCACCGCCCCATTAAGATGCAGGGCCAGGCGCTGCGCCAGCCCAGCCACATTCATTTGTGCGAATAAAGGTGGAGGAGGGGGAGGGGAGCAGGCTCTGGAGGGACGGGGAAATGGCGAGAAGAGGTTATTTACACCACCGTCCTGACCTTCTGGAGCAGCGCTGGCTCCGATAAATAACCCGCTCAGCGCCGTTTCAGAGCAGGAGTGGAAGGTGCAGGAAGGGAGCAAGGGCTGGAGGAGAGCCCCCACGCAGGTGCGCGTCTCTGGGTTACTAATGGCTGAGGCGGGAGCAGGCAGCTGGCTTTGGGGGTGGTGGGGGAAGAACTCAGTTCCCTGGGACTCCCACTGAGAAAATACCATCCCCACCCCACCCCTGGCGCCAATTTCCAGGCGAGGGGACGGAGAGATGCCAAGGAGGCAAACAGCCCCGTAAATTAGGGATGGGGGGGCACTGCTATAGAGTCTCTGAGGTACGAGGGAAGAAATATTGTAAGATGGGGAATGAGGGGGTGCTGGAAGAACAGGAGTAGCTGCCAAAAAGAGAGGAAGAGAAACAGAAACATCACACAAAGGCAGTTTTGAAAAAATGTTTTATTCCTCTTTGCACAGAGCAGTTTATGAAGGTGGCTATCTCCTGACTCCATGCATCTTTTACACAAAGATGCCCCCTCAAATATGCCCAGTTATCTGCCCCACTTCAGTGTT